ATATATGTATAAGAAAAAAACGTTTCGATAGATTAAATATAATAAAGTGGACAGACACTAGCTTCACGACATTCATTTGTTCATCCTACAACACTCATCAAAATCGTAAGATCTTGACTACTCTCAATTATCGACTATTGAGTACCAATCTACGGACGTCATGCCGGCAGCGAGCTAAATAAACTCTATGCGCCTTACCACATTTCAGTAAGACGTAGTCTTAGAGCATTTCCAACTTCCAGTACCAAAAGCATTCGCACTGAACCCGGAATGCCGCACATTAACGAAAAACTGGATATTAACACATTGCGGCTGATACCAAAGGTATATCTAGGCTCTAACCCGAATTTGCTCAACGACATACTTTCGGCCACCCGAAACAAACGAATACTCAAGTTCCCATCAACAATACACCTAATTCTAAAGTCAGTTGATGAACTTTATATTCACCTTTCACCCAAACGTTCGAAGATTAGCAAGCATCCACCATGGGCTCTAAACTCTTCTGTTATAGAAGACAAGCTGATGAGCTGGAACAAGGCTTCCACGAACTACGAGGTGTATAAACAATTGTTGATGCAACGCAAGATAGATCTCAATTCACAAGGATAAAAATTCATTTACACAGATGGGTCAAAAAATCTCCATAACACCGCATATGTAGTGTTTCCGAGAACTCGGAAATCATTAAAAATGACCTACTTTTATTACCATCTTCTGTTTTTACCGCAGAAGTATACGCAATCAAAAAAGCTATCCAATGGATCACGTCTTCCGTCCCCGACAGCCTTGCAACAGTCACAGCCATTCGAAATACTGCTGTTGTCTCTCTAATCAGAGAAATCTGGGACAAATTAATTGACACCCGAAAAAAAATTTAAGTAATGTGGATTCCAGGACCTTGTGGCATTCCGGGCAATGAACGCGCTCTTAAAGAATGCCACTCTTAGTCCATGTATTTCCATAAAAACTAATGAAAACCACGTCATTGTGCGATTCGTTTTAAATTTCTTAAAGCTTAGAGCGAAAGCGGCGTGGAAAACCGCTACCGGCTCATAAATCCCAAACAAAGAAAAAAAGTATACCCTTCCACATGCAGCATCCCGGAGATTAAAATTTTGACACGACTTCGTTAAGGACACACCATCTTAACGCACCAACATATTCTGGAACGCAACATATCGCTTGGGTGCCGGCTATGCAACAGTCCAACCAAAATTTAACAAATTCTGCAGAACACATATTGAACCTATGTCCTACCTTTCGTAATAGGTATACGACGAGACTATGTCGATTCTTCTCCATCGAGACTCCTCAAAGAACCGTCAACATAACAAAAAAAAACTACAATTTCATCTCCAGAGCCCAATTAAAGCATCTTATCTAAAATCAGCATAGTAAAATCTTACCATAGTTTCCTATACCTTCCACACTCTATAACTCTATATTAATTCAATTTCTGTATATATTTGTACTATACCTATAACATATATTTGTAATATACCTAACATATATTGCTCCCCCTTAATTTTAAGCATATGTATAAATATTAGTATATAAGTATAACCATAAATAATGGTATATACATATGTACATATTCAAAACTAATATCTCGTATAAAAGAGTACAAGTCAAATTAAGCCCACAGCTGAAGGCCTTGTCGCTTGTGCTGTTATATTTTATAGGTAGTATAATTATTTATAATTGTATTTTCTTTTTGTAAAAAAATAAATAAATAAATAAAATAAAATAAATTTTAATTTTGAGTTAAATGCGAAATGCCGAGAAAAAAAAACTTTATCACTCGCAGCATTGCACGAAACAGTCTGTACGATTCGCTGTACACGACAAAGAGATATCGTGCAAGCAGAATTTGGCTATCTTGTGAGTGAAATTACCTCCAGTGCCGATTCTGCTGAAGACATTGTCAGTCGCATATACAAAGTGCGTGATGGGTTGAATCATCTAAACATCATTTGGTCTCTAAATCTACTTCAGTCAGCTCAAAACTAAGTATTTTTAACTCCAGCGTGAAAACATTACTCTTATACGGTAGCGTATCTAGATCCTTAACAAAAACGCGATGACGAAAAATCTTAAAAATCAAGTAACCTCGTAGCATCTCCAATCTGATGGGCTGTCTAGGTCATTCTCTACCCAGAAATATTGACGATTTTTGCAAGAAAAGATTTTTATTTGAACCCACAAGAAAACTTCCTGGCGTTGTATAGTACATGCCTACTTAAAATACTCTCAAGTATAAAATTAAATATAATATATTGTTTTTAATATTTTCTGATAATAGTTATTCTACCTCTTTCTCTCCTGCCGCTGTTAACGATAATTATTATATGAGAGATCGTTCTCACAGCAATATACAGACCATCAATCAAGAATGATAGAATGCAAGATTATGACAATGATTTACCGCTACTTTTTCGGTTTAGGCTGTGACAACTAAACAAAAACGTAAATACTTTTATTAGTTACTGAAATGAACTTATTTTAATAGTTTTTGGTGAAAAAATTGTAATGAAATAATAAGAAGAATATTGCCTGAAAATATTTGTGTTATTTTTAAAATACCTTTTGACAAAATAATTGCCAATTCACTGAGTGGATAAAAGAAATTGTGATTGCGAAGGTTGTATTTATTTAAATTTATAAGCATAAAATATATTGATTTTGAAAAATGAAGTGTGCAGTGGCGAATTGCAATAACTATTTAACAAATAAACCATTAAAAACAAGTTTTTTTAGTTTTCTCTGGGTGATAAATGTTCCCGGAAAATGGGTAACTTTTTGTAGGCGAAAGAATTTTCTAATCACAATAATTATAATTTAAGAATATTTCACTATAATTTCACTTATAAAAGTATTTATAACAAGGAAGGAACGTCTAGGTTCGGATGTAACCGAACATTTTATACTCAAATCAAATGGTATACTCGTTTAAGATTGTTATATATATTCTCATAATTAGAAGTAGGAATTGTTACCTCAGTTATTTACATTCACAGTGAAATTAATTAGAGAAATTTGTAAATTAAATTTACTCAAATTATGAGAAATTATATCAGGACTTATATGAGGACTATAGGAAGTATTGATTCGATTCAACCCATTTTTGACACAAAAACATACTATAATCGAGAGTTTCATTTATTTATTTTATTATATCAATTTCCATTATATATCTTACACCTTGACCGATATTTTCGGTAAAGAGTCAACTATAGGCATTGGAGTCCACGTATTCAGTACCTAGTGGCTTGTACATTTTTGATTCGATTTAGACAACTTTTGGTCACAAGGTGGCATACTTTATTTTTCACGCAAAGTTTTCCCCGATACAATCCTTGTTGCTTGATTTGCATAGTGAAAAGTGAAAGAGTTAGATGGAATTTAAAATGGTGTTATATGGGATATAGGCATGGTTGTAATCCAATTTCACCCATTTTCGCACTATCACCTAGAAATATGAGAAGAATGTTATGTACCGAATTTGGATGAAATCAGTTAAGCAGATCCCAAAAGGGTTTTCACCTAAAAGCCACGGCCATTGCATAATTTTGAACGCGGTTCCTATTAAGTCATCTCATACCATCCCAGAAATACAATTTAATGTCTCTGGCGTGTTTAGTGCTTGATTTACCGCGCTTTCAGTAGGGTTTAACAATACCGTTATATGGGGAGTGGGCGGGGTTGTCACCTGATTTAACCCATTTACACACTGTCAATAGAGGTGCTAAAAAAATTTGTTCTCAGTAAATCTTATTATTATAGCTATTCTATAACGCCAACTCTTACCGCGAAAGTGATGAATTTTTAAATTTAAAAGCTCACGTGATACAAAGTTCACTACCTTCCCAGCCCATGGTAAAAAGTTATAAGATTCACTAAACACTCCCTCTCCCCTAAACGCCTTACATAATTTATGAATGCCCCTTATGCTATCGTAGTATATTATCTCAGCGCCATCTAACATTCGCAACTCGAACTCAAATAAACTTTTGAATATCTGACACAACTGCAGCGCAGTCTGCCGGAATTCTATGTAAAACGTTCTAACATCAACAACTATTTATAAAATAAATAAATTCATTGTTGAAACATTATCTAGTTGATCGAATTGTAAATCTAAACCATCCTCGACACCCTTTGAACTCACACAAAAAATTTCATCAAAATCAGTCCAGCCGTCTAGAAGGAGTTCAGTGACATACACACGCACTGAAGAAATATATTATATAATATATAAAGATATACTAGCGGATCCGACAGACGTGTTAGGATAGTTATGTAGGTTAGGAAAATATTATGAAGAATTGTGTAAAATATGTACTTCAAAACAGTAACAAACTTGAAAATAAATAGTTTTAAGTAATATCAGTAAGAATAAAGTAATGGATGTACCAAAAAGTAACAAATGTATTCAGTCGAACTATCCTTTATGAATCTTCATTCAGATACATAGGTATCGTATAGAGTAGCATAGCAGTATGAATGCTTAGACACTATAGTGTGTATGGTGTATACACCGGGCGCAACTGAAATTCAAATATATTTCTGAATATTTGACACAACTGCAACGCAGTCTGCCAGAATTTTAGTCAACAACAATTTATAAATAAATAAATTCATTGTTGAAATATTATCTAGTTGATCGAATTGTGAATCTTAACCATTCTCAAACTCCTCTCAAATACACATTAAAAATTTCATCAGAATCGGTCCAGCCGTTTAGAAGGAGTTCAATTACAATCACACGCACAAAAGATTTATATTATATATTCTATATTTATTATATTAAGATATATATAATCAGGTACACTTCATGGATAGTAATTACAAAACATTAACAATATAAGCCGGAATAATCACGTTAAACAAAAACCAAAATGAATATATAATATAAAATCAGGTACAATTCAGTTGTATTCATTAACAAATACATGACAAAACAATAATTTAACAAAAAATAAAAATTTATATAAAAAATCGGGTACAATTCATTAACAACATAATAATAATCCAAACAATGTACTAATTAGTAAATAATATTTAAAAAATATTCTAAATCATTCACAGCGATATATTTATTACATGTAATTTTAATCTTTAGGAATTTTAATAATCGAAAAATATTTGAAAATGTAATAAAAACACTCTTAAAGTCATAACACGGCAACGCACTGTAGCAGATTGAGGGATTTCTACGTTTTAGTAGTAGAATATTAGCAGGCAACCCGTACCAAGTGTGACTTTAGTATAGAATATAAGTAGGCAACTCCTACCAAGGGGATATTTTTGCGTGTGTATTAGTGAAAATCGTAGGATGACCACGTTCTGCGTGGTCAGAAAGCAACTGGCTCTATCATCGTTTCTACGGTATAATCAATAATGATAGAGGAAGAGATTTCACCATGCGCATGTTTGCTTTCTGTCAGATGTTGCTACATCACGGTTGACTTGTCGTTATTCTTCGGCTTTTAAATTCCCTACAAAAAACTGCTAATGGGTTCACCAATACACTCACATTTATTATGTCAGTACTGACGATCAAATTACCCGGCAATTGACTTTCAATTTATATTGCTTACTATAGCTCTACATATGAAAGAATGAAATAGCTGAATTCTTTAGTACTGTCACTACTGACAGCCAAATGAACAGTAAAATAACTGTCAATGTTTCCGATTTTTCTAAAAGCAATACATTTCCATAGAAGTTTCGAGAAGTTGTGAAATACCTATGTAGCTGTTATTCCGTGCGATAAGCCAAAAGTGTTGCGTACTCCTGTGCAATAACTCTTTTTGTATTAAAAAATTAAATAAATAACGAAGGAGTTTTCAAATATCATATAAGAAAGTTTCAAATAATATTATATTTTTAGTTAATTTTCATTTATATTTAGGCATTTTTAAATTCATGAACTGGAGAAACACGTACAGCAGAGCTTTTGAGAGGAGCAAGCATGGAATTAAGTGAAAATTTCGCAATTTATTTTTTAATTATATTTTGGTTGCACTCCTTTTTTAAATTAATGTATATTATTATAACTAATTTCAATGAAAAGTTTTGAATTTAGTATAGACATAAAAATTATATTATCTACTGCGCAAAAACATTTTTCACTTGTGATAGAGATAGTCAGTCATAACGGACAAATGGCAGCTATGATAGCTTTTCGGTCATAACTGACAATTTTCAGCTTTGATGGATTTATGGTCAGCAATGTCTAGATATATAGTGAATCAATTCCGAATACCCATGTCTTAAAGAGAGATGCAAACTCGTACACATACGTTTGTTTACATCAGTTTTCGCACAAGGCTCTTAAGAAAATGATAGAAACTTTGTTCTGCGCATTGACAAAATTTTTTCAGCTGGGACTGCTATATTACCGGTCAGACGACTGTCACTGTTCTTGTAGGGTTGTGTTTTCAATTGGGAAACTGTGTTTGTGATACTTAGTACTTAACACGTACACTTAATAAAACTACAGGGAAATAATTTTTAGAATAATGGCTTTACTATCAATATAAAAGTTGTTAGAAAATTCATTATTCTGAATCTGCTTTCGCTTACGTCCAATGAGCTATCCGCCACACAAAAAATTTCTCAGAAGCACTTGACTGTAACAGGAGCAGAAAGACAACATTTTAAAATAGCCCAAAATTGTTTTCCTACACAATTGCTCGAGTGGGTAGTTTAGGTTTGCTAAATAACGAAAATTGGGAGGAATGCTATCGACTTTTCAAAATTGTAAGTGCACATATGTAATATATTATTTAAAATGTTTCTATTTAATAAATATTTATTTTGCAGACAGATGACTGGTTTGCCATAATGAATGTCAGGGAGCCCAAAGATGGTGTAAGGCTTTGAACACCCAAAATAATATATTGGAACAGATGACGGAGATAGTTTCATCAAAGAGCTCATCAACTTGGTCACAACAAAGGAGCTTTTACAGAAGCAGGAAATGTTAAACTCAATAACACCCCGGATTTGGAAGGGAATTACTTATATCTAAAAGTTAATTATCAAAATGTTAAAAGTACATTGTAATATAAACCTGAGACTAAAGAATAAAAAATTTTAATATTCAAATGTGCTGAATTTTACAAATACAAATATGTACTTATATACAAACTAAGCTCTTTCATAGTTACCACAGACTCTTCTCCTATTTCTAATAATATACTTAACTAACAATTTATTCCATTTATTTACCATATACGCATGTATGTATGTTTATTCTACTTTTGCAGGTCATCTTTTTCAACGTGTGTCAGTTGATCAAAACTCCACTGACCCAACCAAAAAATTAGAACTTGGAGACTGAGATGAGTGCAAATTCAGAAAATTGTTCGTCGTGGTAGTGATTTGCACATATGTAAAAACTATGTTAAGAACGACTTAGATTTAAGTAAAATTAAATAATGCAATGAATTGAATATGTAGGTAAATGTTAACTATAAAATTCCATATATTGTTGCTGTTTACAAACCGAAAATTAAAATCATGTATCATGTTTTGCGTTGTACAATTACGAACAACGAATACATATGTCCGCGGTTCGGCTGCAAGAGTTTCGCTAACTATGATTGAATAAGTTTGTAGTGGTAAGTTTAAGTATAATAATAATAATAATGAAATAAATTTGCAATTGTAGTTATAAAATATATTATGTGTTTTTATTTTACAAAAAAATATATACATATGTATATATATAATACATTTTACCGAAATATTAATATTCCTTACATCGTCAATTATTGTACAATTTTTTACATTCTCTTACGGACGATGATGTGAGCATTAAGAGACAAAGCTTTTAGTTGTCAATTTGTCTTATCTTCTCGTAAAAACAGCGTCAATGCATTTTTTATTTTTTTGTCGTTGCTTCCGTTGTGTTGTTGTTAATTTGCAAACCCCTTTGAGATTTCTTTCTGCATTGACCGATATTTTCGGTAGAAGGTCAACTATAGGCACTGTGGTCCACATATTCAGTACCTAGGGGCTTGAACAGTTTTGGTTCGATTTAGACAATTTTTGGCCACAAGGTGGCATACTTTAATAGCATTATTCACGCAAAGTTTTATCTTGATACAGTCATTGTTGCCTGATTTGCATAGTGGAAAGTCTAAGAATCAGATGGAATTTAAAATGGTGTGGCAACTTATTAGTTTTTGATTAATGACGTTTTGTGGGCGTGGCAGTTGTCCGATTACGCCCATCTGCAATACCAACCGTCTCACGGTACCAAGAAACATGTCTACCAAGTTTCATAAAGATATATCTTTTTTTTTACTCAAGTTACAGCTTGCACGGATGGACGGACAGACAGTCACCCGGATTTCAACTCGTCTCTTCATCCTGATCATTTATATATATATAACCCTATATCTAACTCGATTAGTTTTAGGTGATACAAACAACCGTTAGGTGAACAAAACTATTATACTCTGTAGCAACAGGTTGCGAGAGTATAAAAACGTTGACTTCGGTTGCACCGAAGCTATAGTACCCTTCACAGATAGAAACGTTTCTTACAATAACTTGATTTAGATCTAATTTCGTGAATCGGCAATAAAAAATAAAATTTTTTCGATGCAGGCACTTTACTCCGATCGATCAGTTTACATGAGAGCTATATCACATAGTGATCCGATCTAAACAATTTCTTCGGAGATAATATTCTTGCCTTAGAAATTATCTCATGCCAAATTTCGTTAAATGAAAAAGTTTTTCATGCAAGCATTTAATTCCGATCGATCAGTTAATTGGAAGCTATATGTTATAGTCATCCGATCTGTACAATTTCTTTGGAGCTTGCACAATTGCTTTAAATAATATTCTATGCCAAATTTCGTAAAGATACCTCGTCAAATGAAAGAGTTTCCCATACAAGCACTTGATTCCGATCGTTCAGTTTGTATGGCAGCTATATACTATAGTCATCCGATCTATACAATTAATTTCTCCAGAGATTTAATTTTTGCCTTATATAGTAATCCATGCCAAATTTCGGAAAGATACCTCGTCAAATGAAAGAGTTTTCCATACAAGGACTTTACTCCGATTGTTCAGTTATTAAGCAACTATATGTTATAGTCATCCGATTTGTTCAAGATTTTCGGAGATTACGTTGTTGCCTCGAACAATAACTCATGCATAATTTCGTGAAGATACCTCGTCAAATGAAAGAGTTTTCCATACAAGCACTTCATTCCGATTGTTCAATTTGTATGGCAGCTGTATGCTATATTCTTCCGATCAAAACAATTTCTTCGGGAATTACATTGTTACCTTAGAAAATAACTCATGCCAAATTTCGTGAAGATATTAGGTCAAATAAGAAAGTTTCCCATACAAGGACTTGCTTCCGATTGTTCAGTTTGTATGGCAGCCGTATGCTATAGTGGTCCGATATCGGCCGTTCCGAAAAATGAGCAGCTTCTTAATGAGAAAAGGACAGGTAAAAAATTTCAGATCGATAGCTTAAAAACTGAGGGACTAGTTTGCATATATACAGACGGACGTACGGACAGACGGACATGGCTAAATCAACTCAGCTCATCATGCTGATCATTTATATATATATTTTATAGGGTCTCCAACGTTTCCTTCTGGATATTACAAACTTCGTGGAAATCTTTATATACCCCGTTCAGGGTATTAAAATTCCTGTCCTTCTTCGTTTTGTAAATTAACGTTAAAGTCACCTCCCATAATTTTTGGAATGTGCGATAATTTCTTTTCTTCTGCAACTTCAAATATCGTTGCTTTTGCGCTGTATCCCATAACATTTATTTAAAAAAATCTTTTTATGTCTTGTAACGATACGCCTGGAGTTATATAAACTGAAACTAAAAATACTTTTTGTGCATTGATAATAACATCAGCAGCGCAAATATCACCAATTCCATCATTTGCAGCAGCTAATTGACAAATTCTACAGTTGTCTAATCTATATAATTCGTGTTTTGCAGCTTGCAATGATTGTGCACTCGAGTCGATATTTTCATAGATAGCTACACCTCCTGCGCGAATTTTTTGCCGTTTAAATTGCGATATCATACGAGATCCTTTTATGTTACAATGACGATCGTTTTCCAACCAAGTTTCACTTAAAGCGAAAACCTTGCATTTCGGAATGACAAAATCATTCTCAATATCTTTGTCTAAGCGATGGTACATTCAACGTACAAATAGAAAATGTACTCTTTAAATTAGCGTAATAATTATTTTGTTTCTATACTACACTATAGTATCCAAAACAAAAATGCTATGCCGAGCAAATAATTTTTTTGGTTCTATACTATACTAAATTTTTACTATACTATAATATGCGCGAACACGCCGCGCAAAATCCGATCGCATATCCAGCGCTAAAACATGATACATGTTAAAATATGCGGTTCTTTTATTAATATAATATTAACTTTTGATGATATTCACTTGTTTAAACGCTGCAATTTAAAATTGCTTCTTATTTCAAAGAAAAACGAACAACAGAAAATCAGCTGGTAGTACTCGCGGGCTATACGCTGCTGATCACTGATATAAGGCGTTAGATGGCATTTAGACAAGGATTCTTTTGTCGTGCATTATTGGTGTCGCTTAGTGCGTTCACATGAGTGACAATGGTCTGGCAACTCGAATCGAGTTATTCTGTTATTATGGTCTCACATTTTGCTTGCAAGGAATTTTCATGACTGTCCGCTATTAATATTTTTTTAAAAGGCCAAATCTATGACGGGAATTTCTCAATATTCCGAAAAGTATATCCCCATAATTTGTTTTAAGCCATATTTTTTTATTTATTACAAAACATTCATGAAATAATTACATTTCTTCTTTTAATTAAAATTATATTCGAATTCAATCCTATGCGTTTAAATGAAATAAATAAGAAATCATCTTAATACTTTTATGTAAATATAAAAATCAAAAGTAACTTCAATTTTAAAAGTATTCAAATTCATTTATGTGTTAGGTGCGCAACTAAGTTTCCGCTGTTTGTCAATTGATGGGTCCAGCAGTAAGTGGTGATCGATTTTGATATATCCAAAAGGTGATAAACTTAACCTAGACATTTGAAATGATACTGCGTTTTCACATTTGTTTATGTGTCATATACTATCGGTTGTGCAAATATGTCTGATTGGTTTAATCGCTTCAAAGACGGCGATTTAGATATTAACTACTGTCCGTGAAAAGAAGGCCAAAAACCGTCGAAGAAGAAGAAATTGGAGACGTTGCTCGATGAGGATCTGTGCTAAATGCAAGAAGGCTTTGTTTTAGCATTGAGGGGGGGGGCTTGTTTTAGCATTAGTCACCCACTAAGACATTTTAAAGCGACTACATGCACTGGGGGAAAAAAATTTATTCTGCTGATTGACAGCGATCGGCCTCGGTTGCAAAAACCCTTTAAAACGTACCTGGAAACGCTTAAATGGGAAGTCATACTCCACCCGCGAAATTCTATGATTTTGCACCGTCCGATTATTATTTGTTCCTTTCGATGGCATATGGTCTGGCTTAGAAGCAGTTCCACTCACAAGTCGACATCGAAAAGTGGTTTGACCTTGGATAGCATCACAAGGTGTACAGTTTTACCGTTATGGTATTCGAGTTTTGCCAGAAAGATGGGAAAAAGTTGTGACTAGCGATACTTCGAATAATTTATTTGTAACCCTTCCCTCACAATAACGGATGATCCAAGTAGAGGTACTTTTTTTAATAGCCTTTTTTTGGCAAATCACGCGAAAGTAATGTCAAGCTATCATATTATTTTTGTTCAGTATTGTTTGGCACTTTGTCATGGAAAGACTTACGTCTGAACAATGTGTATAAATCATTCAACTTTATTACGAAATTTAACGTTCTGTAAAGAATGTGTTTCGCACGCTTCGCCCAACTTATGGTCGACATAATCGGCCTACTGAGCGTAGTATTCGCAGCATCATCCCCCATCTTGAATGAACGAACGTATTTTACGTCTATATCTTAAAAAATTGAAAGCGTACAAAATACAGCTTGTGCAAGAACTGAAGCCGCTCGACCTTTCCAAGCGGATCCAAGAAGATCCGACGGTTTCGAGC